ACATGAACACCATTAACCACTAATTCCACATACCTTCTTTTATCTGCCATACTTAGAGCCCGTGTAGAATATATACTGTTAATATATTTGTTTTGAAACTGGTGAGGACGCTTCATCGGCTTTGATCTCAAATTTTCTTTTTTGTCGTTGACTCGTCTTAACAGCATGGACAGAATGATTAGATGGTGCAGCACTTTTGGTTTCTAACATAGCCGAATCCTCTTTCAAGTTTATTAATCGTTGACACTCACCAGTAACAGTTTGTAGCGTCATTTCTTCGTCATGTTCCATACGAGATAATAACTTCATGCGAACATCAGCATCGCTGGGAGAATTTAGACCAGAAATAAATAATAAGCATTTAAATTGATCACTGGTTAACACATTTAATTTAAATCGTTCCGCTTGTACATTTACTCTTCCGGCATACGTAGTATAATCTTCATCAGCTTCTCTAGTCAGTTGTAGACAATTATACCGGATGCGAAATAGAGACATCTGTTCACCGAACATTTTATTTAAAATGTTAACAGTTTCATCGAAACTAATCTCTCGTGGATGTTTAGGCAGGATATGGTTTTTATACTTCTGATGCTCATTAGGACCAAGCTTCTGTAAAAGCAACCGAACTTTCTTTGCGTCCACCATAGCAGCAAATTCTACTCGAAAAATATCTTCAATTCTGCCAAACCAGGCTTCAAAAGTGTGACCGCTGTCTGCATCGAAAATAAATTCTGGAATTGGATTAAGATATGACTCTATGCTTTTAAGTTCTGGAATATCTTGTTGAATAGACATTTTTGCCAAAAGTGCTTCCATGAGTTGTTGTTGAGAAGCTAACATCTGCTGCTGCTGTATTATTAACTGCAACTGTTCTTGAGAAATTGACATTTTTTTAACGCGAATAATAATAATAATAAATCCAAAAAACACCGGCAAATATTATGGATTATTTAATTCCAAAATGATGTCACCGACTGCTGTATTTCTTTTTCCAGAATCACGTCCCAATTATTGTATTTTTTTATCCCATCCCCGTCGCCAATTTGTTATATCTTGTGGCCGAGTGGATGGGTAGTTGATGTGTGACTTGATGAGACCGCCAATTAGGGAGAGCGAATTCTCGATTGGAACAGTGACACGAAACCCGTACGAGCAGCCTAGAGTGCTAACCGGTCCTGCGATCTGCCTAGCCCAGCCAATTAAGTCCAAAACACCAATATCAGCCTCAGTGGTATGAATCATTATTTACAAACATAATGGGTTTTTATACAAACCAAAGTAATCAATAACTGAGTATAACTCAAGAATCGTATGATAACAAATCAAAGATCAAAATAAAGCTCATGATAAGAGAAACACAAATATGAATCGTTTAGTTACGTAACAATTGTACAATACGCATAATACATTGGTCGATAAATAGTCCTTGGAGTTACCATTCATAATTCACCAGGGGATATAACAGATTTCGTAAGGATTGGTTGTGCACAGACCATATCGCGATACTACGGATCATCGTTGAACTATCAAGTGAATGAAACTCGTCACATCAACTTCCTTGACTATGAGAAGGAGTTTGACAGCGTTGATAGGAGGACCTCATGGGATCTTCTTCGACACTCTGGCGTGCCCAAGAAGATCGTCGCGTCATACGGAATCCATGCAGTATAGGGGTGAGTCCTTAGCTGAACTTTGATTGAACCCTTTCTTTCAAAAATATTCAAGCAACTTTTTAACGTCCTCCACTTTAATATTTTTACATATTATCAACATCCGTCTCTTGATTCTGACATAACTACTATAACACTGACCTTTCATCAAAATATTTCGTTAATAATCTTCATATATTTTGCAATATCGCAATTGTTTAATTTTTCAAATAATTACTGTGACACTACTAAAACTACTCGACGAGTTTTATTTCTTTGTTGTAACTCATACATGTATGTGGGAGTGCAGAGCCATAATAAAAAACTAATTAAAAAGAAAACTCTTCTCTCTATTTGTTATTTTTACTAAATGTCAAAATGACAATATTCACTATACTCAAATCATGCTTAAAAGAGAAGCTCTAGAAGAGGTGAAAAGATTCACGCACATGGTCAGCGTGAGATCAAAACAAAAACGATGACTCCAGTGTTTATATCCTTTATAGATCGAAGAAAGTTTCGTAGCCGTGATATTACTTAATTTTATTTGAGTGATAGCTACGCAGATAATCTGTCTTCACAAACACACTACAAGTCATTTGCCTAGAGAGGATAAATAAAACTAACGGTTGAAATAAGTTTGACCTTAGATCCCTGTAATTATGATTTAAAGGGAAATCTTTACACGTAGTCCATCTTGGTAACTAACAGATATTGAAACGGAATGCGGATTTGTGGCGGTTATAGAAATTTTAACGGTTAAATTCGTAGTTCGATCTAAGCTAGACCAGGATTAAAAGCCTTGACGACCGTTTCTTCCTAGTATGGGGCTCCTTAACAGTGCATATCTACGATCCCGCACGCGGGACTCGAATACAAAACGTTTGGTCTCGCGCGCGAACGCTTGGCCTCTGGACCAATAAACCTCAGGTGCGGGATTGTGGATGAGCACTGCTAAGGAGTCCTATACTCTGACGGAATAACCGTCCGGTGTTTCCAGGTTTTCAATGGTGGTCTAGTTAAGATAGACCCATGAATTCAACTGTTAAAATACTTCAACATCTGGAACTTCGAAAAACCACTCAGTAAAACGACAAAACAATGTGAAGACACATTTTTGTTCATACTATACCAAGCTTTGAAAATGTGACTCAACTTTCCAGAGGTTTATCCTTATTAATATTTATGGTTATAATAATCACTCAAGTATAGATATGAAAACGCACTGGATTAAACAGAACCGAACAATAGCGTTTTTCATGTGTTTCGACCATTACCCTGAAGACAAACGTAGTTAAAGACAATGATGATTGAGAGGGGAAGTACGCTTGATTGTAGAATGGAGTAGAAGAACATGAGACTTCTAAATTAGTTATATAGAGGAGAGGCGTCTTACATCAGGTTGTTATAGTCTCATGGTGAAACTTAACAGAGCCTTTTCAGCCAGTAGTATCCATGATCACTAACAAGACCAACATCAATGTCTACTGCTTATAAGATTATCAACCTGAGGGGATTATTTTCCGCTACATATTCGTAATTTAATAATAAACATTCGAAGATCATTAACTATAGATCAGTAATTTCTTAAATGATCATTACAACATCGCTTCTGTCTTATTTTCCTTGTAATATGGTGATAGTGATGAATGGTCTTCCCAGTAAGTGATAAAGACTACTTTGTACCTGACAATATTTGAATCACCGTTATTTGTACTCATCGTGGTTGGGAATTATCAAAACCTCCTTTCGTTGGACATTATTTTAAGATGTCTTTTGATCAAAAACCATATTGAAGGGTTATTTTTCTGGTATATATGTTTTCCCTAAGGAAATCATTGACTCGAACCCATTTCTTTACTGCGGGTTGTTGAGAGCGGTTATTCTTTGCCACCGCGTGACCGTACGCATTGTTTGCGAAGTTATATTTCTCCACAGTCAGTTGATTTGTAGAAGAAAAGGCCAGGGTTTCAGTTTTGATGATATCATGGTTATTAAAGCTTTTATTAGTGGGCTCAGTAACCCAGTGCAAACTTTTTGAGCTAGAGTTTGCGCCAAACTGTTAGTATGGACAAGTGATCAAGCTACCCAAATTGAAGTGGGTGAAGAAAACTTAGAACTCGAGATTCAATTTTTGAAAACCAACCTCTTCAGATATCACTTGGAGTTCTAGTTAGCGGCTAACATGAAGGTAAAAACGTATATCCAAGCAAAGATCCAAAAGTTAGCTACCACCTAAGGGCCTATAGAATTAAATATGTCTTAGTAATTTTTAGAATTTGATTGGTCCAACTGTATCAACAACCAGATTTTTTAACAAATGCGTTTATCTATATACCGATTTACTTGTACTGATTTTTAGTTGACGAATGCAATATATAGGTGAAATAGTGGGGACGGATTTCACTAAATTGATATGAACGAGTGTTATTGAATCAATACATAGTCTCATGTTTGATACCTTCCTAACACGCTCATACTATGGATTGATATCAACAGAAAAGCAGATCAGAAACGTGGGATGATAGTTATCCAATGACTTAAAATAGAGATCAGATCGCTGAGTCGTTAACTATGACGAAACAGTTACTTGGACAATGTCAGTTCAATTACATAGGACTCATTTTTTGTTCCACAAAACGTTTGACCTATTTACTCATTTTAGAACTATATTGTAACGAAATAATGAAGCACGCATAACCTTTTGAATGAGAAAATAGTTGTTCTGTAACTATGACCTTCAGTTCAGATGGTATTTCGCGCTTTAAATCATTCTTAAAGAAAATTGATCGAATTCCTACACTATATATCATTCATTACTGCTAATTATATTTTATTTAACAATTATTACACATTCACTGATTGTCAAGTTATTAATAACTGGTATAAATTTACTGACTGAATGTTACTGAAAACAGATAAGAGAGTACATTATCGGCGAATAAAACTTTCCTAGTCGGTGTAACTATGTTACCACAAGTATGTTAGTGGATACAGTAATCTACTTTGTATTTGACATCTCATATAGAATAGTTACCAACAAGTGTTTCTCATTGATTACTACCGTTTTTTCTCCCACTCATTTCCCTTCTTTTGATGTTTGCTTCAAGATGCCAGTGACGTATCCCTTAACTGCATTTTTATCTTGCCCTTGAACTGACATACTCATAAAAAACACTAACAAAAAACAAGCATAATAAAATGTCATAAGCGAATATAGGAAATTACTTTGTAGGTCACTCATTATCCAAATAATTCAGACCTAATTGTTAGGACTAATTATTAGGCTTTGTATCGGGGATATTTGGCAAATGTCTTATGATAATGTTAGAAGAGAAAAGGAATGTTGTGGTTAGATATTCAGTTTATTTCCGAATATTTCATATACTGTAATTTTTTGAGTAAAGCTAATGATTCCACCACCAGATGACCCTAATTTGAAGGATTTCCAACCTTGAAGCTCCAAATCGAGATGATACACAAATTTATAGATTGTGTCCATCAGCTGAACTCACCATAGGAGATAAAATAAATGATAAACAGAAAAATAATTTCTAAAGTTCATTGTTTTCTTTCATTTGGTGAAATATTAGACGCTCTAAGAACGGAATACCATATACATCCCTTATATATATATATATTCCGTTCTTAGACTAAAGACCATAATCACTGCCATTATTACCAACGATTTAGTTAGGAAGACAGTAATAAAATTTCTTTTCTTTAAAAAATACACAAACAAAAGATAATCACAATAAAACTGGATGTAATAAAGTAATGAATAATATATGCACAATAACTATAAGTTTTTCTATAGTATGAAACGTGAACAGATAGGATGAGTGGAGAAAGAATAAAGGTAGGAACTTTTAAACCATAATTAGGATCGAATAGCTAGTGAGGAATACTGGTATCAAGTCATACAATTCATCTTTGTCGTGCAACCCATCAATTTTGTGTGGTGATTTAGTTCGGTTTTTTTAATGTTTTCAATTTATTCTTTTTTTTACAAATGACTATAAAAGTACCTTACTATAACTGTAAGGAAATGAAATGGGTTATAGTTATCTTTTTCTTTACACAACGCAAAGTTGGTTAAAAGAGGCATACAACAAGTGCAACTATAGTCACTCAAAAAGGTTTACATTCGCATTAATTAATATAAATGACTAAACATAATGGCATCGGGAAGCAGAGGAAACAGTAGCCAAATTCATCTTTCGACAATATCGTTTGATGTGAAGAAACTAGTAGTCAAATACATTCCATTCCAACTACCATTCGGCTTCACCGACAGCCTTTTGGAAAATATGATCCCGACCATTTATGGACATTATCCCGTCCTTCAGATGAAAACGCCATTTATTTCGAGCTCGATGAATCTGTTGAGAAGGCAGAAAAAAAGTGTTTTTCAAAAGACGAATGGTATTACAAGATAGCTCCACATTGACATACAGTAAAGGTGATTTCAAAATATTTTGGTTTACAGGTTCTAACAAAACAGAAGTAAGCAGTCAGTAATCGGGTGTAGAATATATGAAAGATTGTATCCGCATTAGGTAACGTCAAACTACAGAAAAATTGTGGATGAACCTTTCAGTTATGAGAAACACCATTGAATGTAAGTAGCCTTGCGACTATATGTTTACAAGAAACCTTATTATTCAGCTCTTTTCTCCACTTCTGTGTGGAATTGGTTACTATTTACAACTTTCATTCAAAAACTTCTGCACACTTAAACGTAATTAACATTTGTAAATTTATTTACTCTGGCCTTGAGATACCACTTCAGCGTAACGGCTAGTGATACTACCAGGTTATTCAAACTGAAGTGTAGTCTTAATTTGAAACAATGGAGACATTGTTACCATATACTCGTTGCAGCTAGTCTATTTACTACAGGATATTGTTATATAGTGGTCGAGAAATTTCCTTTTAAAAAGAGACAGATTTTTTCACCAATATCATTACAAGTAATAAGAATTTGAATTTTTACGATTTCTTAAATGATAAAATTATTATAGAAGTGATTGGTAGATCCGAGGGAATTATTTTGTACATTTACTCTGCCTGAATAATTTACAGTTAGGTTAATCACAGTTCAGCTAGCTTTACCCAAATAAAGTTCACAAAGCCTTAATTCACACACCTAACCTCAGTATATTTAGTTCATGACTCTCCACCTCCTTTCTGGAGAGTAGTTCTTAAGTAATACATAAGTTCCTGATATTTCACAAACTTACATAACCGGCATAAATTAGGTTTTTGTTCGCCTATTAACAAGATGCATACATTGCATAAAGTTCTTTTGTATCAATTTACGGGTGTTAAATATAGCTTTTAGAAGTAGAGAACATACAGTGGCACGTAGTTAATCACAAATATCGTAGAAGCATTCCTAACAATGAGCGAAGCCAATGGGTGGACATGAGTATTTTCCTATCGGCCTAGCTCACTAACCACGTGAAAAAGCGAAAAACTTATCAGTTGTCCTAAATTCCTATTGGAACTCACCTTATCATACTGACAAACAACAACATTATCCGATTCGAATAGCACTTCAGGTTCTTCATCACTCACATCATCCTCTGAGTTCAAAGGTTCTTCTTCCTCATCTTCTCCTTCCTCTTCTGTTTTTAGAGGGTCTCCTTCAAGGAATTCCAACTGATCTGGAACACCGAGCTCTGATTCAGTTGGGGATGAAAACTGTTTTGCTATACGACTGTTCTTAGGACTGACTGAATTCCTATCTTGTTGTGGACGCTGTTTAGATTTTTGTTTCATTTGATCCAATTTTCGCTTAGGATCAACAGTATTTTCGTAGTTTTCTACAGATAGTTCGCTGTTAATGATCAATACAAAATAACTAGAGTTTAGTGATATTTTAAACAAAAATCACTAAGAAGAGAATAGAAAGGGTTGTTGAAACTCATACCGATAGTCAGGAGAAATCGGAACTCCCAAACAACACAAAGTAAAAGCTGCAAAATACGAGTAGCGTTACAAAAATAAATATTTTAAATATTTCAGATCACTTAAAATACATGGAACAGAAGGAAACAGGAAACAATTAAAATATTAGACGGTCAATTAAACGTCACATTGAAGCTGAGAGCAATAAAACCAAATAAACAGCTATGCCATAGCAACTAGGATGTAAACACTGCATTTTAGAAGCATCAGTTGATGAAATGCGTTCAACATCAACCTAGTGTTAATTAGCATGGAATATACTCGACCAAGATACAACATCTCTACCTGATTTTCTAGATCGAATATGGTGGACAATCAGTCAGCTACAACGTAGGGCCAGGCACATATATGCATTGGTCCAAGTTGTCTTGCCTCGTCAGCACAACAAGATGAACACCGGATTCATAGTAGTTAATTTAGTAGTGGTAATATATAAAAGATAGGTTGTATATAAGGATATAGTATAGGAAGAAAGACAGATATGAAGCTATTTTAATCTCAAGGTTTAAGGGAAGATAAAGAGTGTATACACCTACGCCATTGTGATCGATTATGAGCCATGTCACCTAGAGTCTCCAACCATTGGTTATGATGGTCGCGCGGACCCCAACCAAGTAGTCTGCATCTGCCAACATGGCTCAGACTAGAAGTTAGTGACTTCAAGCATTGATGCCACGTTTTGATTTGGCCGCCAATAACTCTCTTCCAACCATTCCCAATACTAGTCAGCATTGCGCGTCGTGGTAATCAGTGTTCAGGCATACGAAACACGTGGCCCAACCATCTCAGTCGATGTATATTCATGACCTCATCAACTGATTTACCATCATTCCCTAATACCCTATGTCTAACCTCACTATTACTTACCTGGTGATCCCAGCAGATGCGAGCAATATTTCTAAGGCATCTGTGGTCAAATACTAGTAACTTGCGAGTATCTTCTACTCTTAATGGCCACGTTTCGCAGCCGTAAAGTAAAACAGAATAAACTGTCGCACAGTATACTCCACCTTTAATTGATAGACAGAAATCTCGTCTTCGCCATAGGTGATGTAAGTTGGCAAAAGCCAAATGAGCTTTTAGAATCCATGCTGAAATTTCGTCAGACACCAACCCATTAGGGCTGATCAGACTTCCAAGATAAGTGAAGTTGTCGACTCGTTCGACTACTTCCCTCTCTATTCTTAGTTCAGGTCTTGACGCAGGCACGTCCTGAAGTAAGAATTTACTTTTAGAGATGGAGAAAAGCATTACAAACATCCTTGCATTGTTACTCAGTACTACCAAAAGACTCTGCATTTTATTAGCGTCTTCACCAAACAGGACTATGTCATCTGCGTTTTCTAAGGCGATAAGTGGACCTCCTGGTAAGAGATCAATTCCTGAAAATTCAGTCGACGAGAGTGTTATTTCCAGCAACAGGTCTATAATGAAGTTAAACAAAAATGGGGATAGTGGACAGTCTTTTCGGACACCACTTGAGGTTGTAAAATGACAGTTCGCCATAAGCTCTCACTCAACTGGTAGTGTTCGAGTAAAGAGCCTTCACAAGGTTTATGTACTTCTGAGGTACACCTTTCAATGACAGACACTGCCACAGAGCCTCTCGGTCTACAGAGTCAAATGCTACTTTTAAGTCAAGAAAAACTATCATTGTCGGACGCCGATAAACATGTCTGTGCTCTAACTGTTATGGATAATTAAGTTTTAAAAATCTAAGGTATTTTGAAATATGACTATTAGTATCTTGCTACACAGTACACACTCAGGTAATTGTAATGGTATACAGTTTATTTCATGACAATAATTAGGCATGAATTGACCTACTTTGGGTTGACCGGTGTAGTGGTAGTAGTTACTACTTCTGGATCTTCACCATCATCACAACCCTCAGATTCGTCTGTATCTGTATTCTTCCCGTGGTATGGTGAAAGTCGTCGACGTTTGGAGGCAGGTGTTTGTGCAGTGTGAAATGAATGAGTAGCTGAAGACCGTTGTCCAGGTCGTAAATGACTTTCTTGGACTGATACGGAAGGTGGGGACATAGGAGTGGGTGGGGCACTTACAAGAGGTGTGCCCCCACCCATATCTCTTGGAGTATCCATCACATAACGACTAGTGTTGTAGTGAGATAAAACAGACGAGTGTGGGGTGAAACCAGGAGTAGCAGGGACTAAGTCATCATCATCGTCATCGTCATCTTCTAGATCTGAACCATGATGGACATGGGATGCAACACTATCATTATAATTATGTTGTCCACTGTTTTGATTCTTCCGACGCCCAGGTACGCTCATTGATTGCGATACAGGAGTGTCACAGAACTTTTCGTCATCGCTATCATGGACACCATCGACCTGTGTCTGTAACAGTTAAAAGTAATTTATGGGTAAAAATTTTATATATATATATATATATATATATGTATTGTTAAGTCTGGCCGGTTGAACGCTATATTCAGATCCTAAGCTATTCGGATAACCCCAGGGCTAGCACTACTCAGCGACTTGAACACCAAAGAGAAGACACGAGTATCAGAGAAACACTTTACTGCAAGGTTCCGTAGACAAAGCCCTGAGCCCAGAGTCAAATGAAGCACCATTGAAACCGCCGATCTCTGAAGACAAACTTCAGTCAGAACTAAACTAAAGGGTTCATTTATGTACAGAAAATATAGGGATTTTATAGTAATTTAAGAGTCCTTGAGTTTTACTGAAAGTTCTAGAATACTGCTAAACATAGTAGCAGTGTATTAATCAGCCAATCACGATCTCCATATGTGACTTTTTCATTTTCGTTATTTTAGTAACATAACTTCACATAACTTCTAATTGAAATACTCCTTGATGACTCCTGAGCTTGTCATGTTGCTTGCGAGAAAAATGAAGGGTCATCCCAACACCTCCCTTTTTTTGAAGATTCGGGGTAGGTATCCAGACTGCATTTGCCGACTTCATCCTCCCCCACGAAACAATGTTGGATCCTCATATCTCCAAATTACAATTAATATGACATTATTTAGAACATATTTCTCGCGTTGAATAGAGAATCCACTGGGGATGACTAAATGATAATGAACGACCCTTGGCTTTAGGTCATCAGAACTTGACTCTTCTGAAACATTTCCATCAAATTCATTAAGATTTTCACTAGAGGTTATTAGACAACTAGGGGAATCATCATCTAATAAAATTGCATCAGGTTTCTGATCACCATTTGATTCGACCAACTTATTTTTCTCATCTTCATAAGAATTTTCATCAAAATTATGTGCATCATTACGCGAACCCATATCTGGTAAACTGACATAAGAAATTGGATATGAAGCTGATTCATTATAAGCTTTTATCTCCCGATGATTTTGAATTACATTTGGCACAATTTGGTTTGCTGTACTGTTCCAGTCTTTTTCTGGATGTGCGTCATTCCAGCTTTCTTGACCGATATCATGTAACCCGTCGTTTAGTTCTATACACCGTCCGTATATATATATATATATATATATGTATATATATATATATAAACGATACATTATGGAAGCTTTACTCACTGCTCAAACGGTACCAGATAAGTATAGCAAACAAACTATGTCTATGCATATGAGATTACATCTCTCTGTGACATCACGTTTCGCGAATCACCATCAATGAATACTAGGTAATTTTTTCTAGGAAAGTACAGTTTATGCAAATAAACGAGTGAATATATAACCACTATTAAAGCATGAAACAACAAAATAAAATGGTATATTACATTTACTTTTTATCAGTGGTCAAAGTGAGTCCCTAGAAGTTGGTTTTAATTCCACTGATTTCAAGAAGTTAATTCCAAACAAGTGGAAATCTCTACTATTTGTACATATCCCAATAAATGAAAATCTAAACAGAAGAAAGTTACAACTAGAAACAAAACCTTGAAAAATATTTTGAAGAGAGAGATGCTTGATTTGGTAGGAGTCAACTAGAAACATAACTTTATGGGTTCAATGCCACTAGACGGGTAAAAACATAAACGTCTCTAGGGTTTACCAGCCGTTAAATGATGCATTCAAAAAGTTTTAGGAGTATTACTTTTATCAAAATCCCCGCTATTTGAGAAATATCTAAAACCATAAAATAACAAGATGTTCTTCGTCTAATTGTAAAATGAACTAATTTCAAGTAATAACTAAAGGTAACGTATTAAAAGGTATCAACTAAACGGAAAAAGTGGTATATTAAACTATAACTAATATTCTTTAGACTCAACTGCAAAATACTTGAAAAGCTCACTTGTTTAAACTGCCCAAGATCTGAAGCCATGGAATTGTTGGTTGCCACACTTGGATTACCTATGTACTGAGGAACAGCCAGATGAACACCAGGTTGACGGACTGCTGTTAACGGCTGAGGGACGAGATAAGTCTGTTGGCCGATTTGTACAAGATGTCCTGTAAAAGATAAATGAAGAATACCAATCGAATTTATTTCGACTACAAAATGTAAAACATTCAATATATAACTTTAAGAAAACTTTAGATGAGTACATAAATCTACTGACCTGTAAGACCTGAAGGCAGTGTGGCGAGCTGGGGTGTTGTGACCTGTTGAACGTTTGTAGTTGCAGTAGGTCTTGTTTGAGCTCCACTTGGATTGGAAGTAAGCACAGAGGGAAGAACGCTGGTTGTTTGAGGTTGCTTTTGTGTTTGTGAATGAGATGGTAGTATAACTGAGGCCAAACACGGAGTAGCTTGTACTGGCTCACGAGATCGCATTTGAGTGGGAACTGAAACAGAGGCCCGTGCTGCAGGCAGTCGCAAACCTGAAAGGGTACCAGGGAGCCCCACGCTTGCTGTTGTCTGATCTGATCCAGTTCGGATGATTGTATTCAACTGCCTCACTGGTAAACCTACAGAGGAATTTCCAGAACTGACGACACTTGGATGGATCTAAAGTTTTAATTGATGGAAAAGTGATATGAGACATAAAAAGACATGTATGTATTGCCTAATATGATAGTAAATTTCGAGACAGATTTAATGCAGCCTTCAATTTTATCAGTTACTTCAAAAGACCGTAGAATGGTGATTTTGTTGCCAAGTTATGACGCTATGATGTCAATATCGCTATCAAAGTACTCGGGTTTTAACCAATAAGTCACATTTGAATTCCTCTCTACCTACTCTGGTTTGGGTAATAGGGTAGTGTTTCTAACAGTCACAGAGTGTGAATTAAAGTGGAATATTTATACTTTTACAGGGAACTGAGTCATTGAATTAATGCTACACTGACTATGCAACCAAGACATACGTACCAAAACATGTTATACAGGCTTTAAACTGAGAAAACAATACTGTGTGAAGACTAGGTTAACTGCAAGAAGAATTAGGATCATTGTATAAATTTAACAGATACGTTGAAACTGAGGAAAATGACAAGAAATCAAAATAAAGGCTAGACAACAAATAATGGTTTAGTTGAGAAGAATGTCAAAATGGAGTCAAAAAACTTGTTCATCTTGACGAACCGCTAATAGTTCTTGCACAACAATTGCAGTTTCAGTACTATGACAAAACTAGAGACGTTACATGATGTAAATGAGGTGCATAATTAGTTACACACAAGTATTTTTATAATAAAGCCACATCAAGAATAAGCATTTAAAAACTTGGAACCCATTACACTAGCCACACCCATATATATGAATATATACAGTACCATGGTCGCCCAAAAAAGCTGTCAAAGTTACCATATTTTACACTGTTTAAACATTTTTGTTACCTGAACTTGAGAACGTTGCAAAAGGTTCAGATATTGCGCAGCACTTCCGCCGACAGGCTCTGGGCTAAAGACGTGGGTCTCAGCAAGTTTGGACTTCCATAGCTAAATTATAGTGAGCCGTGAAACATGTAAAACCTTTTTAAGTTCTTCAAGTATCTGGATGTCGCCGCCATCCTCTACAAACTCATCTTTAACACCACTTATAACATCTTCAATAACATCGTCGTAAAATTTGGCCTAAAAATTGAAGGCGGTAACAAACAGAAGCACAAGATAAGCAAACAGATGATCAGTTAGAACTAACCACGCAGGTCATTACGACTGTATACAGTTAACTCAAGCGTTTACGCTAGTTACAAGGCAATTGTGCACCAGTTTCCGGAATGGAATTACCGAGATCTAAAACACAGCTGACAATATTTTAAAGTAGAGCCGTTAAAAACATACTGTTGCAGGAGAGTATGGAGCTGTGTGTGCAAGGAAAACTTGATAAGAAAACAAGACAGTCAGACTAAGTAAAGACATAAGATGTACCTACATCAAATGAAATAGACCGACAGCGACTGGCAGTAGGGTAAGTGTGAGACTAAGAAAATCGGGTAATAACGACTAGAAGTAATGTCATGAGGCCATGAACTGGTAACACGAATCTACACAGCCCGCACACCGTCACGTCTAAATCAACCGCAGCAATTCAACGCCTAATATTTTAAATGTTTACAACGTGGTATGAATCAGGTGATTTCCGAACGATCACAAGTCCCAGAATTTTGACTGGTCTGAGAGAAGTTCGCATTTTTCAGTTCTCATCTGTGTAAACGTCTTCCTTTTATTCTCCCATTTTAACCTCATGTACTTGTACTCACCACAGACTTGTAGTGACCGGCCAGTCTCGATAAGAACACGATTGGAATAATAGAAACAATCATTATTATTGTAACCAATTGTACCAGAGATTGTTTTACTGTATTTGTTTAACTGTATCCGTTTCACTTCTTGTTCCTTATACCGCCTGGTTTGGTTCGAGCTTGCTCACGCACTGCTTGTCCGCTTGTACTCTTTGGCACGTCTCGGTATTATTTCGATACCACGAGATCGCCAATAAATATACTTTATCTGGACTAGTAAAGCCTTCTGTTTACGGGCTATCAAGGGAACCAAGTCATATTTGTACGCGTAATCGATTAGTAGTGGTGATCATAGTCCGTCCACGACTCGACATCCACTATAACTGGTGAGCCGTTATTGGAACACGCAATACAGCTGGTAACCCAATCCATCGAGCACAAGTCAAACTTGGCCAATTCTCCAAACCAGATCAATCTGGTGAGTCTATTTATCTATCCACATCTGTTGCATATATTCGTATTGATTTTTTTTTTCAATATATAATATTTTGGCAACTTAATATGGTAGATAACGAAAAGAATAACATAAATATGATAGACTCCGAGATACAGGTTATCAGTTTCCGACCGGTTCCTTTCATCCCCCATGATCCAGAAGTCTGGTTTGCGGCACTGGAATCTCAATTTGAGATCCGCCGCATAACCAATCAAAGGCAGAAATACGCCTACGCTTTGGAATCTTTGCCCGGGGATCACCTAACCGCTGTCCGTGAGGTTGTCCTCAATCCCAACGTTCCAAACGTTTATGACCGTCTTAAGGATGCCATCCTTCGACATTTCCTCCCATCAAGAGAGGAACGATTGAGGACACTTTTAGCACGTCACCCTATGGGTGATGCTAAGCCGAGCCACCACCTCACGCGCCTGCAATCCCTTGCAGGAAACATGACAGCTGACTCTGAGATAGTCAAAGAGTTGTGGTTCGAAGCCTTACCAGTCAGTATCCAGCCAACCCTTACGGCTCTGCTCGAGGACACCCCGCTCAACAAGGTGGCCCTCATAGCAGATAAGATTCTGGCACGAGTTAACACCAAAGGCGACCATTTTGTTGCTAGTTTTTCCCGTTCTAACGTTGATCTCGATGCTAGACGACCTCCGGCTCATGGGGACAGGGACAGATGTATCCATACTCGTCTCAGTTTCCGAGACCGCGCAAATGTGCCAGCCCCCTACGTCCCCCGACCCAGGTCACAATCTCGAAAAGCCGTAACGACTCGCCCCAAGCGGGCATCTTCCAAGCCACGCCAGAAGGCGGTTTCGGAAGCGAGTCCAGGTTGGTGCTGGTTCCACCGTGCTTTCGGAGCCGGTGCCCGTCATTGTCGAGCTCCCTGCTCATACAAGGCGGGAAACTTCTCAGCCGGCGAGTAAATGCGGCCGTACTCGCCGGCACTTCACCTCAGGTTGGCCGTTTATTTTATGTGCACGATTATCGCACCAACGCTAGGTACCTTGTGGATACGGGTGCCCAAGTTTCTGTCGTACCTATCGGTAACAGTAAGTCTCAAGCCACTATGCTTCGACTACGCGCTGCGAATGGCTCAGTCATTCCCACCTATGGTACACGACAACTTACGGTCAACCTGAGCAACCGACGACAGTATCTGTGGACGTTCATCATTGCCGATGTTCCCACAGCTATACTCGGTATCGATTTCCTACAGCACTATGAATTGCTAGTCGATTCACGTAGGCTGCAGCTAATTGATATTTCGTCGAACAGCAACTTTATGGGCTCTAAAGCCCACACAAACGCGTACCGAATCACAGGTGTATTTCATTCGCGTGACGATTTATTCCACGTTTTATTTCAGAAATTCCCCAAATTAACTAAACCTTTTGAGGAGACTCCATTGGTGACCAATCGTGTGGTACACCACATAGTCACCCGCGGACCACCAGTCACGGCAAGACCTCGCCGACTGGCACCGGACAAATTAGCTTTCGCTAAACGTGAGTTCGACAATTTACTAGCTACTGGTATTATTCGTCCTTCTCACAGTCCTTGGGCCTCACCTCTCCACATGGTTCGAAAAAAGGATGGGGTTAGTTGGAGACCATGCGGAGACTACCGAGCGTTAAACACAGCTACACGTTTCGATAGCTATCCCATCCCCCACATACATGACATCACGGCATCACTCAAGGGCACGACAATTTTTTCCAAGATCGATCTGGTACGAGCATATCATCAGATCCCAGTCGCTCTTGAAGATATAGAGAAAACTGCCATCACGACTCCTTTCGGTTTATTTGAGTTCCTACGAATGCCATTTGGATTACGGAATGCTGCTCAAACTTTCCAAAGGTTTATCGATAGCATTGTACGAGACCTAGATTTTGTTCACGTCTATATTGATGACCTGCTAATCGCATCATCAAACGTAGATGAACATTATCAACACCTGACGCTACTATTCCAGCGCCTTTCGGATAATGGAATAATAGTCAACCCCGACAAGTGTGAACTCGGGAAGAAGGAAATAAAATTCTTAGGTCATGTTATTAAGCATGAGGGTATTCTACCTTGTGAGGATAAAGTACGTACTATAATGGAGTACACTGTACCGTCCACACTTAAGGAACTGAAGGCATTTCTCGGTTTGGTCAACTTCTACCGACGCTTCGTTTCGCACGCGGCAGAACAGTTACGACCGTTAACTGATTTACTTCGAGGTAATCCACGCAAACTGGAATGGAACGACGCCGCACGTACTGCATTTTCAGATATCAAAACGGCCCTAGCTCAAGCCACACTTCTCGTGCATCCTGACCCATCAGCCACGCTTAGTATAGCGGTTGATGCATCGGATTTCGCCTTGGGAGCCGTTATGCAACAGAATATCTCCGGTAGTTGGCAGCCCCTCGAATTTTTCTCACGACGCCTCACTCCCACGGAGACGAGATATAGCGCTTTTGGTCGCGAACTGCTAGCAGCCTACTGCGCCATCAAACATTTCCGGCACGCTGTAGAAGGTCGTAATTTCATCTTATTCACCGACCATAAGCCCTTAACGTATGCTCTGCATACCAAGTCTGACCGCTACTCACCACGAGAGTGCAGACATTTGGACTATATCTCCCAGTTCACGACAGACCTTCGCCACGTCAAAGGCGAGTCGAACTGTGTTGCTGATGCTTTATCACGTATCCAACTGAATGCAGTTACTTTGCCAGTGCTCGATCTACCTGCTATGGCCGCCGCCCAAGCAAACGATACTTCATGCACGGAAGCACAACAGTCTACGTCCCTTCGGTATCGGGAAGTACCCCTAGCTACTAGCTCAGGTACTATCCTATGTGATACTTCTACGGGCCTCCCTCGACCCATCGTACCCTCCGCTTATCGCCGTCTCGTCTTTGATGCCCTTCATGGTTTATCTCATCCTGGTATCGCAGCCACTTTACGCCTCATCGCTGCACGATACGTCTGGCCGTCCATGAATAAAGATGTCCGTATGTGGGTAAAACAATGTTTACAATGTCAACGATCAAAAGTGCACAGGCACGTAGCTGCCCCTATTGGCACTTTCGCTACGCCTGATGCTCGCTTCGATCACGTTCACATAGACATTGTAGGACCATTACCACCATCGCACGGGTATGATCACATACTCACGTGCATTGATCGTTTCACAAGATGGCCCGAAGCTATTCCCATCACGTCTATTACGGCGGAGACAGTTGCTCACCGCTTCGTAGAACGATGGATAGCTCTGTACGGTTGTCCCTCGACTGTCACGACTGACCGAGGACAACAATTTGAGTCCGCATTATTCTCCTCACTAATACGGCTGCTTGGTACGGAACGCATACGCACTACCGCCTACCATCCAGCATCAAACGGTTTAGTTGAACGGTTTCATCGCCAACTTAAAAGTGCTCTTCGAGCACACGAAAACAACAATTGGTACGAAACCCTGCCGCTCGTCCTCCTGGGAATCAGAACGAGTCTAAAGGCAGATATTCAATGTTCCGCCGCTGAACTTGTTTACGGCACGACATTGCGTCTGCCTGGGGAATTTTTCACACCACGGAGCAGCACTAAGTTCGGCGAATCAGACTACGTCCAACGACTGTCTGCATTCATGCGAACACTGACTCCGGTGTCCACTCGTATACAACATCGACAGGTCGCTCTCCCTCGAGAGTTATCTACCTGTTCACATGTTTTCATACGAGTAGATTCGGTACGCAAACCTCTACAACAGCCTTACGAAGGACCTTTTCACGTGATTTCTCGTCACGAAAAGACCTTCAAGGTTGATCGACGTGGTCGCATCGAAACAGTCAGCATTGATCGTCTCAAGCCAGCACACGTCGATGACAGTGCTATACCTGATAAGCCGAGACCCAATGTTAGACCCATCAGAGCTTCTAGCGGGATTTCTACATCTACTTCGGATCCCACGCTAGATGCACCTGAGACCTCATTCTCACGTCCCAGTCAACAGCACGTGTCATCTGCCCCGTCTACGGACGAGACTTCCGTCTCACGTCCAGACCTACAGACCACACCGCCCTTGACTGCGGATGAGATTGCAGGCTCACGAGGTTCGAACGAGACTACCGTCTCACGTTCTGGTCGCCGAGTACGCTTACCCGTACGCTTTCTCGACTAACCTCATAACCAACTACGGATACAGTATAGGAATCTACCCCTATACTACAAGAAAGCTACACTTTTCTCTTTTTCTATCATTTTTTTTTGTGTTTACTCCGAGCCTACGCCTTCGACCATCGCTGTTCCGGTATCGTCGACTTCAGTAAACTTTGGCGAAAGCTGGCCTGATCACCCACGCTCTAGTCAACGCACTCAGTCGACCTCTCTGGCTCCAAATACGTATGGTATACATTTGGTCCCGAACATGGTTATCCTGGTCGCATCTGGTTCCTTGGCTCAATCTGGCTTCGTCCTACGTCTGCAGCGTTTCTGGTCCGGACCTGTACGAACGCAACCTTCAGATTCTGGATA